CAGTGCCTATGCCACAGGATATGGGAGTGTTTAAACTTTTCACATATGAAAGTCTTTGCATGCCGAACAGTGTGTACCTGCACAAAATTGGAAAAACGAAGAAGCGCTGCGCATGCAATACTTCCTTGAAGTGGGTCATTTTATGGCTCTGTGGTGCAATTGATGGAGCTTTGGACTTCTAGGATGCGAATGGAGAAATTCCCTGGTTGTGGTTTTGAGTCCCACCAGAAGTGTGAATGGCCTCTTTTGCTCTGATGTCTCTGTGAGTCAGACATATGTTCAAAACTGGGGTCCACAAACTACTTCAGAAGCCTACCCCTCACATTCTGCTCATCTCCCTTATTGGACACAGCCAACTCGGATCACAGAGTACTCTAGTAATTAGCTCAATTCACCGTTTTAAAATAAGGAGGATAACGAAAATGTATAGCGTCTGGGAGGTTTCGAGAATGGTTTGAAAACCACTGCCTTAGGCCAAAATCTGCTACTTCCTATTGTTGAGATCTAGCCTCTGGATGTGTGTTCAAAACAGTCTTTACAAATATGAATATTTAATTCATGAAAATCTTTCGGGATTTTGTCTTTCAGATCAGCTGAAAGCATAGCAAAAATTGCTTTCCATTTCTCCAAGCTGAGACAGAGTTTAGATGGATTGTAACTGGAGGTTCCAAAAACATTTCAGACACAAGTATTGAGAGTTTCAGATATTCCCTCGGATATCTCGGGTTTTGGAAATAATCCCCTAACCTCTTTCATGATGTAATCCGCTATTTTCCTGACCTGCAACCTCTTTTTTTGTTTTTGTTTTTTTACTTTTTATTCCAACACATCGCAGAAGGTTTAGCAAGTGGCGCTGTGGCTTAGTTGGTCAAAGCGCCTGTCTTGTAAACAGGAGATTCTGGGTTCGAATCCCAGCAGTGCCTGTGCCGTGGGATGTGGGCACCGCTCACCTACCCTTTTTACATACGTAAATCTTTGGATGCTGAACAGTGTGTATCTGCACAAAAAGTGGAAATCTAAGAAGTGATGTGCATGCAATAGCGTATTAAAGCTTGGCTTTTCGTGGCTCTGTGGCGCAATGGATAGCACATTGGACTTCTAGGTTGTGAATGGAGGTATTCAAAGGTTGTGGGTTCGAGTCCCACCAGAGTCGTGCATACCCTCTTTTGCTCAGATGTCTTTGTGTTGGACAAGCATACGCTTAAACCCTTGGATCCACAAACTAGCATCCCCTTCACGCTCTGCTTATTTCGCTTATTGCACACACCCAACTCGGATCATAGAGTACTCTACTAATTAGCTTAAATCACCTATTTAAATAAGGGAGATAACAAGAATGGGTCGAAATCCAATGGCTCAGGCCAAAATCTGCAACTACCTATTGTTGGCCACCTACCTAGCAAAAGAAAAAAAAACATGCTTTCCATTTCTCCTAGCTGAAACAGCGTTTAGATGTATCGTAACTGAGAGTTTCGATCCAAAATGAAATGGTTTGAGATATTCCCATGTCCCTGAACAGAAGCCTGCACACCTTTCAGGTTTTGGAAATAACCCTCTAACTTCAAAGGGACATATTCATGATGTAATCAGCTATTCTCCTGACGTGCTACCTCTTTTAGACTTTGTATACAAAAGCATCAAATCAGGGACAGCACCTGGCGCTGTGGCTTAGTTGTTCAAAGCGCCTGTCTAGTAAACAGGAGATCCTGGGTTCGAATCCCAGCAGTGCCTAATCTGTGGCTTCTAAGAGTAGTCGGTCAACCTTTTCAGATGTTAAAGTCTCGGCAGGAAAGACAATCTGGACCTCTCGGTTGCAAATGAAGGCTTTATAAAGTTTGTTGGTTTTTGGGTCCCACCTGAGTCACGAATGGTGTCCCTTTGCATAGACGTCTTTGCCAGACTGACATTTGCTTAAACCTGGGGTTTTCCAACTTTTTCAGGAGCCGACACAGCACATTTTTCCAATAAGGAAATATTTCTTTATTTCCTTATTGGATATGGGAGTGCTTAAACTTTTCACATATGAAAGTCTTTGCATGCCGAACAGTGTGTACCTGCACAAAATTGGAAAAACGAAGAAGCGCTGCGCATGCAATACTTCCTTGAAGTGGGTCATTTTATGGCTCTGTGGTACAATTGATGGAGCTTTGGACTTCTAGGATGCGAATGGAGAAATTCCCTGGTTGTGGTTTTGAGTCCCACCAGAAGTGTGAATGGCCTCTTTTGCTCTGATGTCTCTGTGAGTCAGACATATGTTCAAAACTGGGGTCCACAAACTACTTCAGAAGCCTACCCCTCACATTCTGCTCATCTCCCTTATTGGACACAGCCAACTCGGATCACAGAGTACTCTAGTAATTAGCTCAATTCACCGTTTTGAAATAAGGAGGATAACGAAAATGTATAGCGTCTGGGAGGTTTCGAGAATGGTTTGAAAACCACTGGCTTAGGCCAAAATCTGTTACTTCCTATTGTTGAGATCTAGCCTCTGGATGTGTGTTCAAAACAGTCTTTACAAATATGAATATTTAATTCATGAAAATCTTTCGGGATTTTGTCTTTCAGATCAGCTGAAAGCATAGCAAAAATTGCTTTCCATTTCTCCAAGCTGAGACAGAGTTTAGATGGATTGTAACTGGAGGTTCCAAAAACATTTCAGACACAAGTATTGAGAGTTTCAGATATTCCCTCGGATATCTCGGGTTTTGGAAATAATCCCCTAACCTCTTTCATGATGTAATCCGCTATTTTCCTGACCTGCAACCTCTTTTTTTGTTTCTGTTTTTTTACTTTTTATTCCAACACATCGCAGAAGGTTTAGCAAGTGGTGCTGTGGCTTAGTTGGTCAAAGCGCCTGTCTTGTAAACAGGAGATTCTGGGTTCGAATCCCAGCAGTGCCTGTGCCGTGGGATGTGGGCACCGCTCACCTACCCTTTTTACATACGTAAATCTTTGGATGCTGAACAGTGTGTATCTGCACAAAAAGTGGAAATCTAAGAAGTGATGTGCATGCAATAGCGTATTAAAGCTTGGCTTTTTGTGGCGCAATGGATAGCGCATTGGACTTCTAGGTTGTGAATGGAGGTATTCAAAGGTTGTGGGTTCGAGTCCCACCAGAGTCGTGCATACCCTCTTTTGCTCAGATGTCTTTGTGTTGGACAAGCATACGCTTAAACCCTTGGATCCACAAACTAGCATCCCCTTCACGCTCTGCTTATTTCGCTTATTGCACACACCCAACTCGGATCATAGAGTACTCTACTAATTAGCTTAAATCACCTATTTAAATAAGGGAGATAACAAGAATGGGTCGAAATCCAATGGCTCAGGCCAAAATCTGCAACTACCTATTGTTGGCCACCTACCTAGCAAAAGAAAAAAAAACATGCTTTCCATTTCTCCTAGCTGAAACAGCGTTTAGATGTATCGTAACTGAGAGTTTCGATCCAAAATGAAATGGTTTGAGATATTCCCATGTCCCTGAACAGAAGCCTGCACACCTTTCAGGTTTTGGAAATAACCCTCTAACTTCAAAGGGACATATTCATGATGTAATCAGCTATTCTCCTGACGTGCTACCTCTTTTAGACTTTGTATACAAAAGCATCAAATCAGGGACAGCACCTGGCGCTGTGGCTTAGTTGTTCAAAGCGCCTGTCTAGTAAACAGGAGATCCTGGGTTCGAATCCCAGCAGTGCCTAATCTGTGGCTTCTAAGAGTAGTCGGTCAACCTTTTCAGATGTTAAAGTCTCGGCAGGAAAGACAATCTGGACCTCTCGGTTGCAAATGAAGGCTTTATAAAGTTTGTTGGTTTTTGGGTCCCACCTGAGTCACGAATGGTGTCCCTTTGCATAGACGTCTTTGCCAGACTGACATTTGCTTAAACCTGGGGTTTTCCAACTTTTTCAGGAGCCGACACAGCACATTTTTCCAATAAGGAAATATTTCTTTATTTCCTTATTGGATATGGGAGTGCTTAAACTTTTCACATATGAAAGTCTTTGCATGCCGAACAGTGTGTACCTGCACAAAATTGGAAAAACGAAGAAGCGCTGCGCATGCAATACTTCCTTGAAGTGGGTCATTTTATGGCTCTGTGGTACAATTGATGGAGCTTTGGACTTCTAGGATGCGAATGGAGAAATTCCCTGGTTGTGGTTTTGAGTCCCACCAGAAGTGTGAATGGCCTCTTTTGCTCTGATGTCTCTGTGAGTCAGACATATGTTCAAAACTGGGGTCCACAAACTACTTCAGAAGCCTACCCCTCACATTCTGCTCATCTCCCTTATTGGACACAGCCAACTCGGATCACAGAGTACTCTAGTAATTAGCTCAATTCACCGTTTTGAAATAAGGAGGATAACGAAAATGTATAGCGTCTGGGAGGTTTCGAGAATGGTTTGAAAACCACTGGCTTAGGCCAAAATCTGCTACTTCCTATTGTTGAGATCTAGCCTCTGGATGTGTGTTCAAAACAGTCTTTACAAATATGAATATTTAATTCATGAAAATCTTTCGGGATTTTGTCTTTCAGATCAGCTGAAAGCATAGCAAAAATTGCTTTCCATTTCTCCAAGCTGAGACAGAGTTTAGATGGATTGTAACTGGAGGTTCCAAAAACATTTCAGACACAAGTATTGAGAGTTTCAGATATTCCCTCGGATATCTCGGGTTTTGGAAATAATCCCCTAACCTCTTTCATGATGTAATCCGCTATTTTCCTGACCTGCAACCTCTTTTTTTGTTTTTGTTTTTTTACTTTTTATTCCAACACATCGCAGAAGGTTTAGCAAGTGGTGCTGTGGCTTAGTTGGTCAAAGCGCCTGTCTTGTAAACAGGAGATTCTGGGTTCGAATCCCAGCAGTGCCTGTGCCGTGGGATGTGGGCACCGCTCACCTACCCTTTTTACATACGTAAATCTTTGGATGCTGAACAGTGTGTATCTGCACAAAAAGTGGAAATCTAAGAAGTGATGTGCATGCAATAGCGTATTAAAGCTTGGCTTTTTGTGGCGCAATGGATAGCGCATTGGACTTCTAGGTTGTGAATGGAGGTATTCAAAGGTTGTGGGTTCGAGTCCCACCAGAGTCGTGCATACCCTCTTTTGCTCAGATGTCTTTGTGTTGGACAAGCATACGCTTAAACCCTTGGATCCACAAACTAGCATCCCCTTCACGCTCTGCTTATTTCGCTTATTGCACACACCCAACTCGGATCATAGAGTACTCTACTAATTAGCTTAAATCACCTATTTAAATAAGGGAGATAACAAGAATGGGTTGAAATGCAATGGCTCAGGCCAAAATCTGCAACTACCTATTGTTGGCCACCTACCTAGCAAAAGAAAAAAAAACATGCTTTCCATTTCTCCTAGCTGAAACAGCGTTTAGATGTATCGTAACTGAGAGTTTCGATCCAAAATGAAATGGTTTGAGATATTCCCATGTCCCTGAACAGAAGCCTGCACACCTTTCAGGTTTTGGAAATAACCCTCTAACTTCAAAGGGACATATTCATGATGTAATCAGCTATTCTCCTGACGTGCTACCTCTTTTAGACTTTGTATACAAAAGCATCAAATCAGGGACAGCACCTGGCGCTGTGGCTTAGTGGAACAGTGTGTATCTGCACAAAAAGTGGAAATCTAAGAAGTGATGTGCATGCAATAGCGTCTTAAAGCTCGGCTTTTTGTGGCTCTGTGGCGCAATGGATAGCGCATTGGACTTCTAGGTTGTGAATGGAGGTATTCAAAGGTTGTGGGTTCGAGTCCCACCAGAGTCGTGCATACCCTCTTTTGCTCAGATGTCTTTGTGTTGGACAAGCATACGCTTAAACCCTTGGAATCTTTTTTTTTCTTTCAGTCGATACGATTCATTTTGATGTGGGTTTCCACGCAACAGTCACGCATCTCGGGCAAGAGCCGGGATGGCGGTACCTGACAGCCGTGCGTCTGTAAAATCTATCCAATACAATGACGAGCTCCATCTTTAAAAAACCAATTACGTTACGAGCTCCATTTTTGGCCGTCCAATGAAATGTCAAGGTCCATTTTTCATAGACCAATCACCGCACATAGTCCATTTTTGTCCATCTTTGAGTTTGAGCAGATTCCATCCAATCTCCGCTCATATTCTCTTTTTTGGCCGTCCAATGAAATGGCAATGTCCATTTTTCATACACCAATCACCGCACGTTGAGCATAAACGCCACCGCTGTTATTTATATTCCGCTCAGGTAACGTTATGTTATTTATAGTTATTGTATTTATTGTTAATGAACGTTTTCTGTATTTTAGGAATAGCAAGATTGCTCCGTAAAACGATCAGGTAGGTTAACGTTAACTGTAATTGTAAGTAATAGGGTATAATTGTCGCAGCTCAATTTGTAATGTAAATAGTTTTATTCGATTTTGTCTGACTTTGTGTAACTTCAGTCAGCAAGCAAACCTTATTTTTTTTGTATAGGTAACGTTAGCTAACGTTACGTTAGCTATAGCTAACGTTATCATCGAGCTTGGCAATTGTACATTTTTGTCAGTAACGAAACTTATTTTGTTTTCTGACAGGATTAACTAGTAAAATAGCATATCTGATAGTGTTTGTTACTTTATAGGAAATGGATAAATCAATGTACAATTAATCTCATTGTACTAGTCTACTGTAACACTGGCATAAAATGTAACAAAATAAATTTGGATAATGTCTCTAACTGTTGGGTGTTTGTTTAACTTTTATACACTTGTGGTAAAAAATGACCAGTCATAAGTGAATGGATGAGAATACAATAAGTATATAAAATAAAATTCAGGCACATGTTCATTTTAACACATGGGCACAGTTGAAATAACACAATGTTTAATCTGAGTATTTGTTATAGTCAAAATAATCCATAACAGTTACATTATACGTTTTACTACAAAACAATTTGTATGAGCCCAGGTCAATGAGGCATACAGGCCATAAATAGCAAATAGAAGTTCAAAATTTGTAATGTTTACAAAAACTCTATCACATGATCTATCACAACATTAGGTGATGATATATACAGTATGCATTATTTTGGATTTATAAACTGCTATAATGTGGCGGTCATTTTGGACCAGGAAAAATGACCACGTAGTCAATTTTTGTCAATCTTTGAGCACAAACACCGCTTAAGTTATTTATATCCCGCTGTTATTTATATTCCGCTCAGGTATGTTATTTATAGTTATTTTATTTATTGTTAATGAAATGGCTTACGTTTTCTATTTTTTAGGAGTAGTAAGATTGCCTCCGTAAAACATCTCTGTAATCCCTCATTTTGGGCCCTTGCCATGATGACTTAATGTAATTACACTATAACATGAATAAAACTGCGTATCTGTCATTACAGAAAATGTCCAAACAACAATCCAAAAGCCACAAGGCTATGAATGATACTGAGTGGGTCTCGCGCTTTAGGTCTTTTGCCTCCACTGGTGTCTGGCCATCAGATGCAGGTAACCGACCTGCTCCAAGGCAAAAGAAGTGGTACAGTCTGTATCAGAAGGTATGTAGAAAAAGTATCAAAAGGAATATATATATATATATATATATTAATTTTGAGTAGTAGACATATTATATTTTCAGTATGTACAGTATGAGCATAAAACAAGAACTTGTACAAATAAATATAAGTGGCATCTTTTGTTTTGTTTACAGATAGAGAAGTGCCCTTTGCAGCTGAGAGGACAGCTAACGCTTTTCTCCCAGCCACAGATGTGTTTGTGTGGATTTCATCCTCATAAGGTAGGCTAATTTGGGCTCTTTCAGTTTAACTACAGTTGATGCAGTGTGCACACAATATAAAGATGTGGTATTTCTTAACATTAATGTATTCTTGGACAATTTCTGTTGTTTCTATCTGGGTTGGTTTGGCAACAGGTCTGTTCCACAGCAGAGGAAATTGCATAGTAGGTAAAAGAAGGTCATAAGGTTGAAACTAACTACATCACTAATAACTGAATAAAAAAACCACATCTAAATTTGTCACGTCATTTGCATGAAAGGGGTTCTTATACATTATTGTTTATACTATTAACATAGAATAGAACAGTAGTATTGTGCTTTCTTTAAATCACTGGTGATTTTGTCCATCATCTTTCTAAGTCTTTCATACTGTATTTCATACTGTATATATGCACTGTTTTATACATTTTTGTTATGCAGCAGCAAGTGCCTACAGCCTCATCTAGACCCACAAGCAGTGCAGACCAATCAACTAGTGGTCAATGTAGCTCCTTAATGGTAGGTAGATTTTATAGCTTTATGTGAGAGAGAATTCATAACGGAAATATTTTATATTCTTGTCATATTTCAGCTCCCAACCACTGCTCCAGTAGAACGTCCCACAGCTGACACTACACCCGCAAGTTTGGTGAAAAGGCCCAAGCTCACCCTTTCCTCGGTACATATGATGGCATGTGTTTTAAAATGGTGAACAGTTGTCATATTAATACTTCTCTCTTTAAAGTTTAATAAGTCCAGATTTGGTGGAAAGCATGTGGAGAGTGCAAAGCCAAATTTACATGTTGGACGGAAAGCTCATGTAAGTAATAAATAATTATTATTTCTTTGCTACAAAAAAAAATTCCAATGATACAATTTTTTTATACCTTGTATTTTTAGACTCATTCAACCACTGCTACAAATGCAGCTGCCCGTGTGTGTGAGGCTCCAGTGCTAGCAGGTGGTCCTCCTCAAACCATCTCTCCACCACAGCCTCCAAGTGCAGAATCATTTTTTCTTGCTCCTCCATTACCGCCTCCAAAACAACGGCATCGGCCAGTGGAGGGGCAGAGTTTAGGAGTGAATGTGGTAAAACATTGCACTTGTTACTATGTTTGGTTAGTATTTTTTGTCTTTATTTGACCTGTCCTTTTCTGTCTACAGAGCGCATTCCAGCCTGAGCACTCTGCTGCAGTTCCTCTCCTGTGGCCTAAAACCATGCCCCAGGAGGATCACCAATGGGTCTCCACAGGATTGTTCAGAGTTGGTGCTCGTGGGAATTTGGAGCTCCAGGATCATCTCCAGTTGTGGTATTTCCCTCCACAGCCATCCCTTATTTACCACCAGGCACCAACATCAGCCAGATTTTTTGCCCATCCCTTACTGCTGTGGATGCCGTATAGGCTGTGGAAAGTCAGGCTGCTGTGCGCGGACCAAGCCTGTAAAAGCCCTCTGACTAGTGGAGGTCTTCACAGACGGGTGCGTCAGGTCCTTGACATTGACCGCTTTTACAACCTGGTCACAGAGACTCTGATTTGCTCCAAGTGCCGCCGCAGCTACCTGTCTTGGAATAGGGAAATACTTGAGCAGCTGGACATGGCCCATCGTTCTGAGTTTAGGGTCATTCTTACCCGCCGGTATGTTACATTATTGTGTGATTTTTGTCAGTTGCTTATCCATGTATATTTAATTTATTTCTTATTACAGATATGCCTGTGACATCAGGGTGATACGCCTCCTACGGGAACGTGGTCTGGGGAATGGCCCTGTCCGACTGATTGGCCAATTGAAAGAGAACCACAGTGAAGAGTGGCTGAAAAGGGTTGCGCGGTATACCAGCGAGTGTGCTTCTTTTACCAGCAAAAGTTGCCTGATGCCACCAACATTTGAAGAGCCTCCCCAACCTGTGGCAATTCCCAGCTACAGTATAAGTGGCTTTCAGTGGTGTACAGCCAAGACATCCTGTTCAGGCTGGAGGATATCAAGGCTAGTATCACCTCCACTTATGGATCCATCTTAAAACTGGATTCCACCAGAAAGGTACATCTTTAATTATTATTGTATTGAGGTTATGCAAATTCTATTTATATTTAAATCTAAATAGAAATGGAACCTCAAATGAATGAACAACTTAAACAATAACATAAGATGGAATGTCAAATTGAGGGACAATTCAAAGATTAAAACAAGAAGAACATTGCAGAGATAACCACTAAATTTTTTTATGACATTACACGCATAAGCTCTATATTAATGCAATAGAACCACTGAAGGTGTTGCTACTATTGGTTTAATATATATGTTTGTTTTAGATCACTAAAAAGCTCTCAGGACCGGCAAAAG